CAGCTGATGAGGGTAAAACATCGTCCGTCTGTTCGCTTCATTTCACCTTTGTGGATTTGCAGACCGATTAAGAGTAAAGAACGGCTATATTGGATCCGACAGGAATGGTGCAACACACGGACTCTGGGTCGAACATGCATGGGCCAATCATTCCGGTTGCCATTTGACAACATTGGACGTTTTCAGAACACGACGGGTGAGTTGAAACTCATTATAATATGCAAAACTGTTATCCAATCACAGCAGTGGGCGTTTACTTCCAAGTCTTCAATGTGAGACGCCCATAAAAACCGAGCGTTTTTCAGCTAGGCTCAAAACTAGGGTAGAAAATAGCCTATTACTTATTCATTTTGATGTTTTTGATTGCAAAAACCAAGCAAACGACAAAAGTTGACCTCAGACGACAATATAATAAAATTTAAAAAGCCACCCCTTTAAATCCGAAAAAACGTGCTTAATTGTCATGATAATGTCAGAATAAAAAAAATCTTAGGGATCCTAAAATAGGCTTAATTGTCTTTAACCCTTGTGCTGCATTAGATTTTTAACACCGTTGAGTGCATTAAGGACCAAAAATGGCCACATATTAAACATTGCCTAAAATATTATATTTTATTATTATTTTCCACTTTTACCAAGTTAAATCTTTTAACCAGCATCAGTCCTCATCATAACTACCAAAAATGTATTCAATTTCAGGATTTTAACCCTTTAATTACCAGTTTTGTTTGCGAAACCATCGATTTGTATAAGAGGAAAAAACACAAAAATTCAATTATTTTCAATAAACTAAATGCAAAGAGAAAACTTTAGATTTGGATTATCACAGTCCCACTTTGCAAAAAATCCCACTTAGCGCGTTAGAGACCAAAAATGGCCACCTATTAAACATTGCCTATTGCCTAAAATAAGGTGCATTTCCACCCATAGGGAATAAATATGTAGTGACGTCATCTGGTGGAATACACTATATAATGCAAAAATAATGCTTTTGCTTCAAAATGAAAGGATGTTTGTGCAAAAATCATGTTTCATGTATTACTGACAGCCTCAGATTTAAACAACGTTTTAATGGGTTTCAATGGGCCATTTTTGGTCTTTATGGTGCTGAGTGTTACTATTTGATCTACACATTGTGTGTTATACATATTTTGCAAAATGGGATCACATTTTTTACATGTATCCAAAAAGTCACAATTTTGCCAAATTTCATACCATTTGCATTAAAACAGCCAAAATGGTCAAAGAAATTAAACTGCAAAAGACCAAAAATGTCCCTAATGCAGCATAAGGGTTAAGCAAAAATTTTTTTAATTATTATTATTTTTGGGGTGAAATTGATGCTTGGGAGATTTACTCTCAATCCTGAGGTCTGTAATGAAAAATCAATTTCTATCTGTTTAAATCATTCAGGATGTCTGAGTGTCAGGTTTCTAAAATAACTGAATTTGAATAGTTAAAATGATGAGAAGTATCAGTTGGTGTTTGTCATCATTTTGCTTTGGTGACCTGTAGTGCCAGTAACGACAGGAGATGATTGCGTCTGTGTGTAGGCCGTGTGAGCAGCGGAAATAAAGATGCAAAGGGCGTTCACAGGAAAACACCATCTGTGTCCCGGTGCTGTGGGTTACATAAATAATACCAGCTCACCTGCCGGCTCCAATGTTTACGTCAGCCTTTTGAGGAGCATGCAGCCCTTCTGAAATGCTTAGTTGGAACATATAATCCTTATAATATAATTTTCAGCTATTTTAATTAAGTGCAATCTCTAGAGTATATAACAACTTCATGTTTAGTTTAAAAATGTGATTTAAATATGGTAATGAAGCTCTGAATTTAAGAATTTTAAGGATCACTGATCAAACTCAAACTGGTGATTCCAGGCTGACAACCAATGTTTACTAACCAAGGACTGAAGTAGTTAGATTAGATATGCAGATAAAGCCTATTTAATGGCAAACAATAAACGGGCATAACTATATTTAACTACAAGAGTAGTAAACCCATCTGGTTTATTCACATTGAGCAAGTCATGAATGTTTAACTAACCTGACGGTTGAAGATTCATTCAGGTGTTGAAAGCGTTGATTCAGTCTGACAACGTGAACGGCTTTGAGTGGAACGTCAAGTGTTGTAATCTCTAATTTATGGTAATTACGACCAAGACAGGAAGGTATTTTGCACTAGTGCAAAGAAATACACATTAGATGTGTAACTGATGCTTGAGAATTACTGGCTGAAACTAAATTCTGCAGGACGGTAATGATCTCCAGGGAAAGGTCTGATCTAAAACTGGCAGAATTAGGTTATCTTAGAGCTATAAAATCAACAACACAAAAAGCAGCAATACTAGATGTAGAATCTACATAAATAGCATACTGTATTTATGTAATGTGATGTTTTTTTCAAGTATAACAAGGTATTTAATGAGCAAAAAATGTAGGATTGGACTTCTATCTATTTCATCCAGCAGGATCCCTTTCTGAAACACCACCGGCACACATTTGATGAGGCTAAAGGTCAAGTTCATCCTCAAGAGCGTCTCTGCATGCAATGCATCAATGGTAACATTTCTCTATTTTTTTTTGTTATTTGCATTACAAGCATTAAATTACTGTTAACTATTGGCAAGATTTTAGAAAGGCTGCATTAAAACAGTAATAATAGGTATCTAAATATAATAGGTATCAGCTTAAATTAGTTTAATGGGATTATGGAAACATAATATATATATATATATATATATATATATATATATATATATATATATATATATATATATATATATATATATATATATATATATATATATATATGAAGAGTTCAGATGCAAAAGCCTCTAAATGCCATTTGAAATTTTCTTCTTTAATGATGATTTTTATCAAACTTGTATATTTAAGTTCAGTAATTTCACTTAAATGGCAATGATAATTACCTATTAATTGTTATTTAACTGAAATTACTGAACTTATATATACAAGTTTGATAAAAATCATCATTAAAGAAGAAAATTTCAAATGGCATTTAGAGGCTTCTGCATCTGAACTCTTCATATATATATATATATATATATATATATATATATATTGGCACTGAGTTCAACATCTTGACAGGAATGAGCCAGCAGTGTTTGTTTTCTGTGCAAAACTAAAGACATTGGACAATACAGGTAGCCTAAATAAATTTCTCATATCAATTCATGTTGACCAGTAATTTAATTTATGCAAAGACTGACAGCAACTCACTGCACCCAGCGGAGCCATCCGGACATCAGCAATAAATGTACCCTTGTCTTGACAACTGAACGGAAGGATATCAGATTGTGATAAAGATAAACTACTATAGAAGCATTACAGACACAACATGTTAGAAGAGATGCAATTAGTATATTGTGTAACCATATCTATTTACTTTTTTGTTATAGATAGATGGTATATTTTGAAGCAAATTTCCTTTCATGACTGTGCCTATTTGTAGTTGTTCCTAATTTTGTCTGACAGCTCAGTGGTGTTTTCACATGCGAGTTAGCCATTCAATTCCCTCAAGCGCAGGTTTAAATCGCACACAGGTAACCAGTGGCCTAGTTTAGACGAGTGACTCTTTCTGAGTCCTGGAGGAAGGGGTACATCTACTCGTGGGCCCAGATTTTGAAGGGAGATTTTTGTTATGCCGGCCACTGCTTGAAAAACAACAAATAGTCGTAAAGATCAAACTGTTCTCAATGGACTGTTGGGTTTTGCCAAGACATGCCTTTTTGCAATCAGGAACATTGCCAGCTCTGAACACTGTTGCTATAAATAAGTATAATAGGGGTTTTGAGGTGCAAAGCACTTAGAATCGTTCCATCTTTTGCACACTCTCTCACACATGTTCTTTGTGAAAGCAAGAATTGAATCCTTTTAGACAATTTTGTTGCTCTTAAGCATGTATTAGGCTATAGTTTTAATATTATGTTTGTGTCTAGCATCTAGACCTGACTCTTTAAAGTGGCAGACTCTATTAATGATGGCGTTCAAGAGGCTTTTTCAGTGAGGTAATTACTATTCGTCCTCCACATATGACATTATATAACATGCTAAGACTCTTTCTCTCCCTCTTAGTCCTCAAGATGACTGTAGTCACAGTTCATTAGTGAGGAGTCTGATACAGCAAGATGTACTCAATACAATACCTCTTTAAATCATTCATTGTCAACTGACTATACTGTAATCAAAGAAATAGGCATATAGCCTAATTATTTTATTCATTAATTATTTTGGGGTACAAACTCGCATTCAGATGAGAGAAATATTTTGAACAATTTTAGAGTCTATCAGTTAAAATATCAAGACTTGTGAGAGATTTATACAGTGCATTTGTCATTGAGCCAATTATTTTAATAGGAAAACCTATTACATGAGCTGTTTATAAAACCATTAACGTAAGATAATGTTTCATAAAATCAAGCGAACTAATAAGATTTCAAAAGTCTCAGCAATTACTTTGCATGATTCAAATAATAGCTACTATAATGTTAATCGCTGGTCCAACAGGTTTTTTTAAATATTTATCGTGAATTGTATTACATCAACAGAACAACATCATAGCTACTGATATTGAATAACGTCTCTAGTTTTTTGTTGTTGTTGTCGCAATAAACAAACACAAGTAGTATCAAGCTAATCACATAACGTTACGATCTGTCGCTGTGTATGCTACTATAATTTCTTGTTATTTGTTATTGCCAATTTTACATCGCTTTTCTAACTCATACGTCGTTTTAATATTTAAATGACAGCTCGGATAAATGTAATTAATTATTAAAACAAATTTGTCACACGTTTGCCGCGTTTCGGCGGGCGTCGTAAAAAATGTCCTTCGAATTCGTCGCGTGGAAACGTGATTTTGGTTGAAAACCCATGTAAACATTTGATGCATATTAATAATTTAACGGACAGAATCACGGTTTATATAATAAACTATACGCGTTTATAATCCGCAGTTATCGCAATGACACTCACCCTCAGGTCGGCTCGTCGTTTAAAGCGTCGTCCCTCCAGTTTGATATAACAGTCGTCCATTACCGCCACATTTTCTTTTTCTCTTCGCTTTGTGGTGAGTCACAGTCAATCTTGAGGTCCCATCTGTCCGAGCACAACTGCTACATCCCCCTCATTGCGGTAATGCTACGGATTCAGAAGCTGCACGGATTTCTCCTCAGTGGTTGCTGTGGCAACAGGAGCCAGCGCGCGCTCCGACCGGTGTCCACTCACTGAGAAAGCGTTTGACTTTCTCTTTACCGGACGCACGTGAGCGCTGCACTGCGAAGACAGGCTACTTTGACGTGAATAGATTATTTTTTAAAACGCATTTTTTTTTTTAAATATTCACCAAGCATATATTAAATCTACTGTGCTATGTAATTAATTTTTGTATATATATATATATATAAAATTTCATGCAAGGTCATAACTGCAGGATTTAAAGAAATGCATCTTAATTAATGTGTCATTGTGTGGCATGATGTGTCAAATTATGTGTGGTATGCTCTTTTGTCGGTGTTAAACACTTGGGAACCAGTAACACCCCTGGCAGTAACACTTATTGAACAGTTAACATGGCGGATGACACAGCAAAATCAACAGATTAACAACCTATTATAAAATGCATATGGCAACATGGGGGAAGATGCCCCCTTTAAGAGCAATGTACATTTACTTTTAAACTGTAACATATTTAGATTCAAGTTTAGCATGTGCAGGATGATGATGCATTCACAAATGTGTTATCAAATATTAAAAGAGGGGTATGAACCGCACCCAACTCCGCTGGATAAATGGTCACCAAGTTTAAAAAAATAAATAAAAAAAAATTAAAATCAGATTATTATTTTTTTTTGTCATACTAAACTGTTTGCTTGAAGCATGTAAAGTCACATAATTTTAATGGCAAAACCAGAGTGTCACAAAACTATCACTGTAAAAATGAATGCGCTTTATCTAATCAAAAAAATTGTGGCAACAGATTACAAGCAATATTAATTCAATTTAACAATAGAATCGAATAATAATTAATCACATTTTGCAACTGTCCCTTATCGAAACATTGATGTAAAACCTAACAAACAAAATTATAATTTGATTTAAGAAAAGTAAAAACATATCAATTTTATGTTTTTTAAGTAAACAATTTTATGTTTTTTAAGTAAACAGTTTTATGTTTTTTAAGTAAAAATCTGACAAGGCGATGATTGATCTGTTCTGTGTTTTCAGTATGCCACAAACAAATATGGGTGTCCCTCTATTCTGATGTTAACAACAAATATAGTGAAGCATAAAGGCAGGGCACTGACGTCTGAGACAAAACAAAAGACTTTGACATTTTCCACATGACCTTGCAAGAATAAATTCCAACATTCACTTAAACACACAGTTCAGTCAGCTTTCACAGTCTGTTATTACACTTCAGTGTGTTGATTTTGTACAAATATATTGTAAGAATTTACCAAAACCCTTAGGCCTGCTTGTTACTTGACCATGTTTCCCCTTTTGTCTTTATACAGCAAAATGAACTTAGTGAAAAGTTATGTCTTCATTACGTGCAACCCTCTCCTTATGGGGTCAATTGCAACATTTGACTTTGTCTATTCAAGTATAAATTGTACTTTAATAATATGTTGCATTAGTGTGTGTGTGTGTGTGTGTGTGTGTGTGTGTGTGTGTGTGTGTGTGTGTGTGTGTGTGTGTGTGTGTGTGTGTGTGTGTGTGTGTGTGTGTGTGTGTGTGTGTGTGTGTGTGTGTGTGTGGCTAAGAGATGTATTACATTTGGACATTTTGGCTTTCCAATACAAACAGTTATGAGAAACTCAAGGAAATGCAAAAAGTGTCTTTCTCATGCAGTGCAGTGGTATGTGTTCTAGATGCGGTGTGTATAGCTTATATATATGTATATACCACACTGCTGTCACTGCTTGAAATGCCATATCAAGCACTCGTTTTGATGAAAAATACCCTTTTAAAAGGCAGTCCAGTAGATGGAGCCATTGTTGTTGCTAAAGAACCCATGAGTTGGCATGAGGATGGACTGGTGTAAACGGCAGGAATGAATCACTGTAAAAAACAAACAAAAAAAAAACAAAAAAAACAAAGACTTGCATCATTTGCATCTGCCATTCTAAAAATATCCGTGCGGCGCCTTTAAGAGTCTGGCAGAGAATAGATCTCAGGATAATCGATTTATTCCAATAGACTTTACCTGAAAACCTGTATTCAGGTTAACCTAAATCATAAAGGCTAAATCAAACGATACATACATTCGTTCTTCTAGCCCAATGAAAGCATAACCGAGTCAAAATACGTTATACTTTACGATGCACAACTCATTATTTAATTTATTTGTACTTATTAGACTGTTCTACATCTCTAATAACCATTTTCTATAACATTCTGCCCAAATAAATCGCATAAGCTTTATTTTTGGTTTATTCTTAGACTTAGTTTCGGTCGCAGAGGTTTCTGAGGGAGTTTCTTTTCTAACAGGAAGCTGCCCAGCATCTCTCGCGCTCTCACACGCAATCGAATCATCAGTAGAGCGCGAGCGCGGCTGACTGACTGACAGTTCGTTCCGTTGCCTTAGAAACTAGCGTAACTGTCGCTATAACCGTTTTTATTTCACGGGAACTATCGTGGAATTGATCAATTGCGATCTTTTCGTTTTCTTTTTTTACTTTTTCAGAAACTTTTCTTTAGGGGGCGTTGGTTTGAAAACTTATCCAATGAGTAATTTATACGAAAATATCGACGGTCAAGAAGAACTGGACTTTCCATTACTTTTCTTGTACAATCAACCTGGCGGAGACTTACCTCAAGATGACCAAGGTTAGTGAATATCATCGCTAATTCTTAATCATAGTTTTATCTAGAACTTTCCTCCCATAGTTAACTTAGCCTACTTATTTTAATTGTATACAAAGCAAATAAGTGTCATTTATCTTACAAAAATAGTAATATGATCCAGTAATGATACTTTATCGTGCTGTATGTTTACCACATACAATGATACGACGAATAAAATATTACCGTCATAATATTATTGTAACATTTTGCATTTCCGTTTTGAGTTGGAGTAGAAGATGCATTGGTTTCAAATTCAAAAGTGGGTTACACACATTATGTGAAACCAAAGATGTAGTGGAAACGTTGAGGCAGCTAAACTGTTTTGTCAAGTATTAGTAAAGAAGAGCCTTGTTAGTTTACAGGAAATGTCTATTCTAAATATTCAGTCGGTTATAATGTATACACACAGCATAGCACATGGTGAAATGACTAATAATGTGTTTTTCCGTTTGTTTGTCTTTTGTAGCTGATGACTCTGGCGTCCCCTCCAACCATGGCAGCAATCAAACTTCCCATTGCATTCATCAAGACCCTTCACTTTACGGTGAAGAGTCCATGTCCCAGCTTTCCAATCATTTCCCCACCGATGACCTTCTCACTTACGAGCAATCTGATATCAGACAGTCTCTCGAGCACTCCTCTTTGTTTGCCGCCCAAGCTGGAGCCATGCAAGGCAACCGCCCGAGAATTGAGATCACCTGCCCTGACCTGCACCACCATGACCATGCCCCCACCAACCCCGTGAACATCAATCGGCCCATGCTCACAGTTCCAGGGTACGACATGCCCTACAGGGAGAACCAATGCCTCAGTCCGGCTAGTAGCACCTCCTCTACTAGCTGGCATTCAGATGGCTATTCTCCAGGAACGTACTCTCCATGCATCTCTCCCGGAGCTGGTGAAGGAAGTCTGGTCGGAGTGACTGAAGCCGATCTTTGCCCGATGATGCAGGCCATCCAAGCCTCAGGTTCTCCCAACACGTCTCCTCGCACCAGCATCACAGAAGACACCGTCCTGGACCGCCGCTCATCCTCTCCACGCTCTCGCTCGGCATCTCCGCAGGGGAAACGCACCTATGTTCAGACTCAAAACCTCCATTATGTCCGAGACGAGCCCACCGAGTTCTATCCACTGGCCAGCTTGGAGGATTCCTTGAACAACCTCAGCAACTTGACTAAACCGATCCCTACTAAGATCGTCAGACCTAACCTAGAGTATTCTGTCTACACGGAAAGCCAGGCAAGCCTGTTCCCAACCATGACGGAAGTGAAGAAAGAATTCGCTATGGAATCGTGCTATTTCATGCCGGCCAACTGGTCCAGTCAGGCTCTCGCAGGGGTTTGTAGGTATGAAATAACCAATCAATAATCTGTCAGTGACAAAGCAACGGTCTTGCGTTTATTCATGTAGCAGGTAAATGAGGAAAAACACAACCAACTGATTATAACCGGAAGTGAGATTTCCCAATATATATGTTATTTCTCCTGGCAGCAATGATATTAAAGGAGTAGTTCACTTTTAAAAAACACTTTTGCTGATAATTTACTCACCCCCATGTCATCTAAGATGTCCATGTATTTCTTTCTTCAGTCGAAAAGAAATTAAGGTTTTTGATGAAAACATTCCAGGATTTTTCTCCATATAATGGACTTCAATGGGGTCCAAATGGTTCAAGGTCCAAATGAGAGTTTCAGTGCAAACTGTTCAAAGGGCTTTAAACGATTCCAGGGTCTTATCAAGCGAAACGAGCGCTCATTTCAAAAATAAATAACAAAGTTTAAGTTTTATGAGCACAAATGGTCGTCTGTAATGAGCGTTCGTGACTCTCCTGTTCGAACCCGTTCATCAAAATAAATGAATCTTTTTCCAAGTCAGTTCATTCATTTCGTTCATCGAATGAACCAAATGACACGAAAAAAGATTTGTTCATTTTGATGAACGAGTTTCAACAGGAGAGTCACGAACGCGCATCACAGAACAGAGCAAGGCGAGCATTTGGTTCCCATTGAAGTCCATTATATGGAGAAAAATCCTGTAATGTTTTCATCAAAAACCTTAATTTCATTTCGACTGAAGAAAGAAAGACATGGACATCTTGGATGACAAGGGGGTGAGTAAATTATCTAAACTTTTGGTTTCTCAAATTTTGAGGCCTCGGTTTTACACGTGTCTCTTCTAGAATCTCAGATCTTGTACTATCAGTCAGCAATCTCAATATTAACTCAAGCATTTCTAATCATATTCTCAAAATATTAACGGAGCCGAGCTGTCATGACTAGTTTATCATCGTGTCTGTTTTAATTTCTTCTAATATAGTTTGGAAGAAACATTTAAGACAAAGAAAGTTGACCAGAATAGTCCATAGATTAACAGTCCTGGCCCGCATTGATTTTTATTCCTAGATCTTTGTAAATAAGTGATGTGTGATTGACTAAACGGTATCTCATCTCCCAGTATGCCAGTGGCTGCGTTGCCTGCGATGGACTGGCCTCTTCCCAGCAGCAGTGAACAGTATGAGCTCAGGATAGAGGTTCAACCCAGACAACATCACAGGGCCCACTACGAGACCGAGGGCAGCCGAGGCGCCGTCAAAGCGTCTGCCGGAGGCCATCCTGTGGTTCAGGTAAAATGAGGACAGAGCTGTGCATTTAGAAGAAGCGAAGCCGTGGGAGGGCGGAAAGGTTGTTTTTGTTTGTTTCTTATAAGGACGCGTGGGGAGGGATGTGAATTCTTGAGAATCGCTGCGTGTGAAAATGTGCACAAACGGTTGTGTGAGTGATTTAAAGACTTGAAACTGAGATGGATGTGACACGAATGAATCGAGGGGGGGGGGGGGGGGGGGCAGATAGACATAATGCAATGATTGTGGTGACATTGTTTCCCTGTTAACGTGTGAAGTACGGTGTCCACGTTTAGGGAAATTAGCTGCCGCTGCGCCAACATGTCATCATATGCATATCTCACAGAGCATTGGCATCATTGCTTTTGAAAATGAAGACAAAAAGTGTTCATGCATACACTAAAAATCAGCAGATTTAAAGCAAACATTTGGTTACAGGAATTTTTTTGTAATGCATCTTGTATCTTGTTATGTTTAACTGTGGTTTATAAACCGTTTCAGTTGCGAGGGTACACCGGGACGGAGCCGCTGGCTCTACAGATCTTCATCGGCACGGCTGACGACAGGAACCTCAGACCGCACGCGTTCTACCAGGTCCACCGCATCACCGGCAAGACCGTCACCACCAACAGTCAGGAACGAATGTTGAGCGGAACCAAAATCCTGGAGTTGCCACTGGAACCCAAGGAGAACATGAGAGTTGTGTAAGAAGATAGTGATAGCAAGTAAAAAGACCGGGGCTAGTTGTCACATGTGGAAATTGTCTCAGAGTCAAATATACAATTCTGCAAATGCTAGTGTCCTTCAGGTCATGTCAACTCACCTAAAGCGATTTATGCAATACAGAGTGTTTTAAAGGAGTAGGTCACTTTTAAAAAAACTTTTGCTGATAATTTACTCACCCCCATGCCATTCAAGATGTCCATGTCTTTCTTTCCTCAGTCGAAAAGAAATCAAGGTTTTTGATGAAAACATTCCAGGATTTTTCTCCATATAATGGACTTCAATGGGGTCCAAACGGTTCATGGTCCAAATGAGAGTTTTAGTGCAGCTTCAAAGTGCTTTAAACGACACCAGACTATGAATAAGTGTCTTATCTAGCTAAATGATCGCTCATTTAAAAAATAAATAAAAAAGTTTAAGTTTTATAAACTCAAATGCTCGCCTTGCTCTGTTCTGTGTGACTCTCCTGTTCGAACTCGTTCATCAAAATGAACGAATCTTTTTCCAAGTCAATTCGTTCATTTCATTCGTTGAATGAACCAAATGACTCGAAAAAAGATTCGTTCATTTTGATGAACGAGTTCGAACGGGAGAGTCACGAACCAGAGAAACAGAAAAGAGCAAGTGTGCTTATAAAACTTAAACTTTGTTATTATTTTTTTAAATGAGCGATTGTTTCGCTTGATAAGACCCTTATTCATCGTCTGGTGTCGTTTAAAGCCCTTTGAAGCTGCACTGAAACTCTCATTTGGACCTTGAACCGTTTGGACCCCATTGAAGTCCATTATATGGAGAAAATTCCTGTAATGTTTTCATCAAAAACCTTAATTTCTTTTCGACTGAAGAAAGAAAGACATGGACGTCTTGGATGACATGGGGTGAGTAAATTATCAGCAAAAGTTTTTTTTAAAAGTGAACTACTCCTTTAAGGCAGCTTTACAGAAATAAAGAGGAAAATAACAGAATCGATTATGCAAACTTCATGAAATATGAGACAAATTCAAATTCTGCTGTAAAGCACCTCTAAAAAAGACAATAGTGTCTTATATTATTCTGACAAATAGCCTCCACTATATCTAGTTTAGGATAGTTTCTGTTCTTTGAATATAAAACAAAAATGAACTGGGCGTGATGAAAGATCCAGTGTTTTTTGAATTTTGCATGCTAAGTCTATGTCTATGTCTATGTTAGAGTTGACTGTGCTGGTATCCTGAAACTGAGAAATGCCGACATTGAGCTGAAGAAAGGAGAGACGGATGTGGGACGGAAAAACACCCGAGTGAGAATGATCTTCCGTGTCCATGTTCCTCAACCCGGGGGCCAGTGGCTCTCTCTCCAAGTGGCCTCACAGACTATCGAGTGCTGTACGCATTGTAACTTTCCATTTCAAACTCATTATTTTAACCATGCATGTTTGTGCACGAAAGCATCATATTTTCAATATCAAATGGGTTGTTTTACAGCTCAAAGGTCGGCCCATGAGCATCCAGCGGTAGAGCGTCAGGACGTGGACCACTGTTCGGTTCTGGGTGGACTGCAGATGAGCCTTAGGGGCCAGAACTTCACTTCAGAGTCCAAAGTCATCTTCTTTGAGAAAACACATGGTGAGTGAAACTCTTCTTCGTTGAGAGGGTTGGTCACACTTTTACTGATTGGTTAACCAATGGGTGTTTCAGTGGCTGTTTAGAGAGCAGAGAGTTATACAAAAAAAATTTCGGACACTTAAAGGATTAGTTCACTTTTGCTGATAATTTACTCACCCCCATGTCATCCAAGATGTCCATGTCTTTCTTTCTTCAGTCGAAAAGAAATTAAGGTTTTTGATGAAAAGATTCCAGGATTTTTCTCCATATAATGGACTTCAATGGGGTCCAAACGGTTCAATAATAAGGGTCTTATCAAGCGAAACAAGCGCTCATTTCAAAAATAAATATAAAAGTTTACGTTTTATAAGGACAAATGCTCGCCTTGCTCTGTTCTGTGATGCGTGTTTGTGACTCTCCTGTTCAAACTCGTTCATCAAAATGAACAAATCTTTTTTCGAGTCAATTCGTTCATTTCGTTCGTTGAATGAACCAAATGACTCAAAAAAAGATTTGTTCATTTTTTTTTTTTTTGATTTGTTCATTTTGATGAACGAGTTCGCCCAGAACAGAGCAAGGCGAGCATTTGTGCTTATAAAACTTAAACTTTTTTATTTATTTTTGAAATGGCCGCTCGTTTCGCTTGATAAGACCCTTATTCATCGTCTGGTGTCGTTTAAAGCCCTTTGAAGCTGCACTGAAACTCTCATTTGGACCTTGAACCGTTTGGTCCCCATTGAAGTCCATTATATGGAGAACAATCGTGTAATGTTTTCATCAAAAACCTTAATTTCTTTTCGACTGAAGAAAGAAAGACATGGACATCTTGGATGACATGGGGGTGAGTAAATTATCAGCAAAAGTTTTTTTTTAAAAGTGAACTAATCCTTTAAGGCACATTTAAAAATGTCTGATCATCATCGCATTAGATGATAGACTAAGAATAAATGGCTATTATCTGAGGCAACAAGACATTTTTAAGTGTCCAAATCCAAATCGTGTTATAGGCTATTTAAAAGGTTTTCAGCTACATCTAAACTCTAGACCGAAAGACACACGAACGTCACTGTCTGCAGTTTCCGTGAAAACGAATCTGTGAAGGTATACATTTAAATAGGGGAGATCCTAATCTCATTTTACATGGATGAATAACTACTTTACAATGGTGGAAGTAGACCTTCAACTACTATTATTGTGCTTTTGCGTGTTAACAGCACCAACCATCGACATAGTACTCTTTTAATATTTGACTTCTCCAGGCACCATTAGCCATCTGTGGAGAAGATTAGCATATGATTTGTTTGAAGTCGTATTGATGTGCTTTGCATATGCAGAGAAAAACGGTGGTCCAGGCTGAAGCTATGAAGGTAGATTGCAGTCTGGTTTGGCCAATGTTTGCAATAACACGAGTGAAAAAAAAAGAAGATAAGCCTTGCAAAGCTTGCATAAACACACACATATTACCGCCAGTTTGTCTGTCAGTGTTTAAAGACGTCAGAAACCTCAACCAACACCTACGCACTGTGCAAAACGTTAATTCTAGAACTATGTTTATTGGTAGATCATATGAAATACTTTTCCAATTATTATGCATGCAAGTTTAATAACTTATAGTCTACATAAAGGCAAGTAAAACATTTTGGTAACACTTTTGATGACTAACATGACACCTTCATAACCATGACATGACACATGTTATGAATATGAAGGAAGTTTTATGCATGTTTATGCAAGTGTCATTCGCTCAGTTATGACATTTTGAATGCAAATATGACATTGTTTGAGTTATGACACCTTGACATAAACCAATACATCATAACCTGTCAGTGTCGTTGTCATGACAACTTGACATTACTAAGACAACACAACCGGTCATAAACATGACAGCAGATTAATGATCAAACTTAAGAAAGCATTTAGCTTTATTGGTTAACATTACATTAAACTGTCAGCTGGTTGGTTTTGACATTGGCTGTCATGAAGCCATTATAACATTTTAATGACAAATTCAATTAGTACCACTCTAGTTGAGGTCACGAAACATATTCATGACACAGTTATAATGCCTCATGAAAGCCAATGTCAAAGCCAACCACATGACAGTTTAACTTCATTTAATGTCAAGTTGTCATGACAAAGACATCTCAAACAACGTCATATTTGCATTATAATGTCATTATTGAGCGAAAGACACTTAATGACAGTTGTCATAAACATGCATATGAAGGTGTCATGTTAGTCTTATGCACACCCCTTCAAGTAAAGTGTTGCCAACATTTTTGATATAGTATTTTTAAAACCAATGTTTTACAAAGATGCATTAAAATAAGTGAAATTACTTCGATTGATAATTGCAAAACCAAGTAAAGATTTAAATTCAATCAAATTAATTGATTTGCGGGAAACACCAGAAATGTTCCAGAATGTCAAGAATATTTTGAGTGACAGCTGAGTGAAATCTCAGTGTCATAGAAGGACCATGAGGACAATAGTATATATCAGCCGAGACGGCCTACTCTTTCTGACGCAAGCACAGACTTTAGCAGCACTTTCCATTTAGGTGTGCAGCGAGAGGATGTGGTTTGCTCTGCACAGATAGCATCTACAAGCAGAGTCTCTTTCCTTTCCTGTCCTCAAAGTGATAGTTGCAGAGCAGAAGTCACACTGCAGGAGAGTGGGAGTTTCATCCACTATGCATGAAACTTTCTCTCTGTTGCTTATGTAGAAGTCACAGACCAGCTATTTGTTGTGGCTTTGAACAGTAAAGGGTGTGTGTAGGTAAACGGATGTAAATTAGTTCTGAGTTTAAAAAAATAAGTCCCTTATGCTCATTAATATTGTGAAATATTATTGCAATTTAACCCCTTACCTGTCACCTGTCCGTATAGAGGACTTTTGTCACAAAAAGTTGACGCACACACCTTTAATAATCAAAACTTTGGGTTTTCATCCTAAAAGTTCATAATAAAACATATAATCTAGTATTTTTCAATAAAAAAGTATAATATTATCCTCTAAAAAATTATAATATATATTATCCTCTAAAATATATTATCTTTTTTATCGCCTTTTTATTATATCACATATTTTAGTAGTTATCATAAATTAGGTATCATTTGAAAGCTTACAAACTCATCCTGTGAAAATCGTTCTATAATTGAACGTTGCGTTACCATAGAAACGGTACTCTAAATTATTTTATCAGGCTCCGCCCCTTTTGGGTATCATAATTTATGATCAAAACCTTTTCTAATCTTGACAAAACACATATTGTCGGAAAGGTCTGAGTCTCAAGGTTCTTAATTTTGTGACAGAATTGATATTTGGACAGAAATTTATTAATTTGTTTAGGCAGAATGTATACAACTAAATTCAATGAAATTCAATGGCACCTGGTGGCTATTTTTGGTACTACGCCTAAATAAAATCTCAATTTTTGTGATATCTGCTTCAAATTTGGAACATAACTTGGTTAGATTTATGGCTTTGATTTTATAGTAATTTTAGAGTAAAAACTATTTTGTAAAATATGTATTTTATATCAAATAAAAAATATATAGTACAGTATATTTGATTTAAACTTCCATAACTTTTTCATACTTTCATTTTTTTCAGTAATCTGCTTGTTTCTTTAAAACAAGACCAAACTTGAATATATATTCCAAAGTGGAACATTTCTTCTGTAACATTATAAATGTCTTTACTGTCACCTTCGACCAATTTGAAGCATTCTTGCTAAATAAAAGTGTTAATTTCTTTCAAAATAATTAGTGTAACTAGTGTAAAAACACCCTTTTTAAGATAATAAGATAAGATAATATTATGTTTCAAATATTTATGGTTCCCATGCATGTTTTTTCTATATTCAAATGCCTGTTTTATTGTCTTAGTTGACTTACAGATATGGGAGGCGGAGGCGCAAGTTTACAGAGACAAAAGCACGTCTGTAAGCATTCAAGCTAAAATAATACACAACGCTCTTCAATAATGGTGTTTAAAAGGTTAATGTAAGTTGTGTTCCTATCAGAACCTGCTGTTCTTGGAAATCCCTCCATATCGGGACCCCAACATCTACCACCCGGTCAGAGTCAGCTTTCACGTGTTGAACGGGAAGAAGAAATGCAGCCAGCCTCAAAACTTCACCTACACACCCCTCTCAGGTGCGGCCGTCGGTTCCTTTACCCTCAAATAATCCAGTTAAAGGAGTAGATAGATCATTTACTCACCCCCATGTCATCCAAGATGTCCATGTCTTTCTTTCTTCAGTCGTAAAGAAATTAAGGTTTTTGATGAAAACATTCCAGGATTTTCTCCATATAATGGACTTTAATGGGGACCAAACGGTTCAAGAACAAATGAGAGTTTCAGTGCAGCTTCAAAGGGCTTTAAACGACACCAGATGATGAATAAGGGTCTTATCTAGCGAAACGAGCGCTCATTTAAAAAATAAATAAAAAAGTTGAAGATTTATAAGCTCAAATGCTCGCCTTGCTCTGTTCTGTGATACGCGTTCATGACTCTCCTGTTCATCAAAATTAATTAAGAGTCATTTCGTTCGTTGAATCAACCAAATGACTCGGAAAAAGATTCCTTCATTTTGATGAACGAGTTCGAAATGTAGAGTCACGAACGCACATCACAGAACAGAGCAAGGCGAACATTTGTGCTCATAAAACTTAAACTTTGTTATTTATCTTTTAAATGGCCGCTCGTTTCGCTAGATAAGACCCTTATTCATCGTCTGGTGTCGTTTAAAGCCCTTTAAAGCTGCACTGAAACTCTCATTTGGACCTTGAACCGTTTGGACCCCATTGAAGTCCATCAGTGGTGGAATGTAACGAAGTACAAATACTTCGTTACTTTACTTAAGTACATTTTTCACGTATCTTTACTTTACTTAAGTACAATAAATAGTGCCTACTTTTTACTTTTACTTCGTTACATTTTGCAGCAATTATTATACTTTGTACTCCGCTACATTTCTACAACTTCTGTTACATTTTCGTTACATTTTCTGTTCAGTTTTCCCCCTGCCAAAACGTAATCTGACGTAATCATTCGTTGCACGTTTGTCTCACCAGTGACGTTTGGTTGCCATAGATACAGTATATCAACTAAATGCGTCTCGCACGCAGTGTGTTTATCATGCAACTCATACGCGAAAATTAGTTTTTACGTGCATAGGAAACACACCGTGTGTAATATATGTTTCGTTTGGTTAGGATTATGGCAAGCCAAGAGGTTCAGAATTACACCATGAATTAATCTCGTTTACTGCCAAGGCGAAACTCTGATGCTTTTTTGGTAACGGCCACTAGATGGCGCTTGGGTAGCGCGGCAGCCATATCGGGGTGAAAATTCCAACTGGAGTTACTGGACACCAGCTCAGATAACAGTTTTTTTAGGTAGTTTTTTCTTGCATTAGTGAGTATTTCCATTGTATGCAAGTTTACACTTTTACTACTATTATTAGTTACCAACTCCACTAGGCCTGAAATATATTTTGGACGTTTTAATCCCCTGGATCATGCTACAAACATGATGATCATTGATGCGCTGTGTCCGTTATCTTAACTAATTGCAACTTTGGACATTGGCTGTGTTTTTTTGTTTGTTTACATGGTCTTGCGTCATTAATATAAGATAGGCTAGTACTGCAAAAAAAAAAACTGTTTACTGTAAAGCTATTCTATTACTGTTATATATTTATTGTCAAACATTTACATTTTAGTACAACATTTATTTGCTGAATTTATTTCATTGATAACTTATTTTTGTAAGTAACGTTATGTGTACCTCCCGGGAAACGGTCTATGTTATTATAACTTTATGAACTGATCACTTTATTCTTACCTATCACACTTAATGTGGAGAGTAATGAATTAAATCCTCAAACTTCCCTGTCTCAAGTTATGAGGGGGTAAAAGCCCGGTTAAGTAGCAAGTAGCAAGTTTCATTAGAAAATAGACATTAAGATAATAAACTGTTATGCAAGTACTTTTACTTTTAATACTTAAAGTACATTTAAAATAAAGTACTTTTTACTTTTTACTTAAGTATGGTTGTCATTGTGTTACTTCTACTTTTACTAAAGTAAATATTTATCCGGGTATTTCTACTTTTACTTAAGTACTGAGATTCAGTACTTCCTCCACCACTGAAGTCCATTATATGGAGAAAAATGGAATGTTTTCATCAAAAACCTTAATTTCTTTTCGACTGAAGAAAGAAAGACATGGACATCTTGGATGACATGGGGCCGAGTAAGTTATCAGCCAAAGTTTTTTCAAAAGTGATCTACTAAAACTGATCCAAATGTTTTGGATTTCCTCTGCAGTGCCACAGATTAAAGCGGAGCCGGTTGAAGAATACCAGTACACACAGTTAGGCTGTCCTGTGCGTCCCATCATGGGCGTTTCTCCTCCCTCCTGTCATCGTCCAGACGGTTGCATGATGCCCACCGGCTCGCCGTACCAGCGACCTCAATCTGGCATGTATCCCGGTGTCCCACAACACCACCTCGAGCACGCATCTATTCGCTACCAGATACCAGGATTTCTCTCTGGCTCCCCGGGTCATGCTTCATGTATGGGGTCCACGTTTGTGCCCAACGCCTACACGTACACCATAGCAGGTGACAGCATGCAGACGGCAGCCTCCTTATTTCCTACCCTTGATGTCTCCGAGTTGTGCTCCGCCGGGGCCCATCAGAAGGCGTATGTCTCGAGGGCGTCCCCCACCACAGGGAGGTCCCCGCCGGCCCGAAGCCATCAGCAGACGTACCTGCCCGTACAGCACCAGAGGAACGCCAGTCCTGTCAGAGTCACCGTCAAGCAGGAGAACCTGGATCAGGCCTATCTGGATGATGGTTTGTGGGCATCATTACTCTGATCAATCAGTTTTTACAGTCCAACCAAAAGTGATTCAGACACCAGATATCAGGTAACACTTTAGATTAAAGCCTGGAAAGTACTGCGTAATTAACTTGTTTACTTGCTATTTGCTTATCTTTTTAAATAAGCTCAAATCCTGGTGAGAAACTATTTTGCAGACACATCTCCTCCAATCTCAGACCTGAAAAAGGCAATTTAGTGTTCATCCACTCCCATGAAGCGCTGTGAATGACAGAGTCGCTCTCAAACTAATATGCATATTATATACAGATATACAGTACTGGTCTAAAGTTTGAATCATTACATCATTAATTTGTTTTTGAAAGAAATCTCTTTTGTTCATCAAGCCTCTATTAATTTGATGAATAAACAGTAATGTCGTGAAATATTATTCCAATTTAAATTTGATCTATTTTATACGGAGGTGTATTGCATTCACTTGAAGAAAAAAATCTACTCTGTTTTTCTGAATTAACGATTTAATTTTTCATGAGAAAAAAAAATTTGCTCTGTTTTTCTGAATTAACGAGTTAATTTTTCATGGAGTTTTTTTTTCCTGTTTTTCTGAATTAATGAGTTAAGTTTTCATGAGAAAAAAAGTTTTTGCTCTGTTTTTCTGAATTAACGATTTAATTTTTCATGGAATTTTTTTTTGCTCTGTTTTTCTCAATTAACTCGTTAATTCAGAAAAACAGAGCAAAAACTTTTTTTCTCATGAAAAATTAACTCATTAATTCAGAAAAACAGAGCAAAAAAATCTTTTTCTCATGAAAAATTATTTCAGAAAAACAGAGCAAATTTTTTTTTCTCATGAAAAATTAACTCGTTAATTCAGAAAAACTGAATAAAAAAAATGAATTTTTTTCTTCAAGTGAATGCAATACGCCTCTGTAATTTTAATATAGGCTACTTGAAAATATAATTTATTTCTGTGATGAAACACTGAATTTTCACCAGCCATTACTCCAATCTGCTGATTTATTATCAATGTTGGAAACAATTGTGCAGTTTAATATATTTTTGGGAACCTAAAATTCTTTGATGAATACAAAGTTAAAAAGAACAGCATTTATTCAAAACAGAATGGTGCTGAAAATTCAGCTTTGCATCACAGAAATAAAATATATTTTAAAGTTTAAAGATAGCCTAATTAGCCTATTTTAAATTGTAATAATATTTCACAAAATTATTATTATTTTTTTTATTTTTCATCAAATAAATGCAAGCTTGATGAGCAGAGAGACTAAAAATAGTGATGTTTCCAAACTTTTGACTGGTACTGTATGTATAGGCTATATACAACACTAGTTTATTATTTATCCAATGTTTTAAATGTGTCTTTTGCAATGCTTCATGGAACTGTAGTTCTTTCTCTCATTAACGCTGTTTAATACACATTCTTGTACCTTTGTCTTTTGAAATGAGTTTTTTTAAACACTTTTTTACTTGTTTGAATAGCAACACCTTCCTTTTCAATTATTTATGTATATATATTTTTTTAGTTATAGACTTTCTTACCTCACACTAAGTCACACTGGAACTATTTCGCTTTTTAACTTTAATTTAAATCTAGGATTTGATATGGCATGTCACTGTTGTTGTGTGTTGATAGCAGATATTCAGTAGTTTATTTCAGAGGCCACTAATGTATGCCACTCTTATCAGCCGCCACTATATGGGTCAGTGCCTCAGGTTCTGTTAAATATTGAGCTCCTAGCAGACCTAAAACACACATACAGGGACAAACAGGACACTATTGATCTTTAGTATAGCATTCAATCACAAAAGCACTCGTAAATACACTTGAATCGTGTTGTTTATTCACGTAAAGCCGGGTACAGTTGATGTTGTGAGCCAGATTTTAAAATCGCACCGCGGATGCAATTTGTATTTGCGGTGGATGTTGTAGGTGTTACAAAGCATCCCACCAACGCTTTAGCTTCTATTTCAAGCTGATTATACCTGTAAACGCTACCCCTTGTGTCCCTAATCTAATTTTAGACTGAAAACTTTCCATTTTTAGCCCACTAACTTGCCTCAGCAAAACAACAGGAAGCGCACAGCCGGATAAAGTGATGAGGTTAAACTCGGTGCTGCCATCTAGTGGACGGTCAGTTACAATGACGCGCAGACTGCAGTGTCCCGCGACCTTGCATTCATTCGCGTCTCTAAAGAAAATGTCTTGATAAAAGCCGGCAGAATGGCGCATCACTAAAGTTAACTAACAGAAAATTCTCCCCGACACACACAGGAGCACAAACTGATGTTTAATCCTTAGTGTTAGAGGTTTGATCACTTCATTAATGCTATAATAGTAACGCACACTTAATCAAACAGCACGCACTCATGATGCTTTTATTTTTCCTTGCAGTGAATGCTGTGATAAGAAGGGACCTTGTTCATAAAAATAAGCTCTAATGTGGAAGACGGATCTCCATCCAGGCCGGCGAAGACGTCTTGGCATTGATATCTATTTAAATTGCTTGCTTTTCATATCTAAGATTTGTACACAAAAAAGATGATTTCAGTAAGATTACCTTAGACATAATATCAGTGTGTTTTATTTTTGTTTATATATAATGCCTATTTTCTCAAATCATGTTTTTAATCAAAGAGCAACCTTGTGCGACATATTTATGAATGTGCATTTTAAATAAAATGTTGCTTTGGTTGTTACTTTTATTTGTAAAAACAAAGCAAAATGCTAACTAATCTGGCAGATCATTATTTGCAATTTTGTGAGCATTATGAATGCTTTTCTTATTGGAAATGCAAATCCGTTTTATATTTATGTTCCAAGAGCTCCAATCAGGGGTGGATTCATGAAAATATCCTTAAGAAAAAGTTAGTAATCAAGTACAAAAAATTCTCAAATTACCGACCATTTATTAACCCTTTTTAAGTACCAAGCATCTCTTGATCGTGATGATTATCACTCATTAAAGAAATTTAATTATCCAGATTACAAACATAAATCTAGTAGTAAGGTATTATATAAATATTAAATAGCATTATACCGTAATCCAATTATGAGCAATCCGTTTTTATTTTCAAAACATTATGTATATTTGGGAATACAACATTTTAGAAAATGTATATAATCTATAAAATATGTTATTAAAATTAATTTCTAAATAACTTGTGTGCCATTTAAACTATTATTAAACAATTATCACCACAGAAAGAAACGAGCAGAACCGACAATCAGTTTATTCAGATGAAGGTACTTAAAATAACACTAAAGATTATCCAAAAACACTGATACATATATAATGTGTGGGGGAAAAAAACACTGTTTTGAAGTACGTGGCAATATCCGAACTGAAATCAGATGTAATAATGTCTGAACTACACAATATCTCGTTGCATCCACATCCTCTAACGCTGCTGTAAGTCAATCCATCATCCGTGAGCTGATCAGATCCACATCTGAGGTTCCTGCTGCACCTTTAATGTTTCCCTCATTTATATTCACTCAGTCAGGCAGTCTACACACACACACACACACACACTCTATCTCTTCTTCTTGCTCTCCTTTTTCAGTTTCTGTCGGATTTGTGGAACGGGCCCCTTCGACTTGCGGTTCTGCTCCGCGCTGCGAGTGTCCACCGGCTCTGACGGCTCCGCCTGCAATTATCAAATACAAAATTTGAGTTTTCAAAGCCCTTATGGCAAGACACTAGACCTGAACATTTTCATGAATACAGATCACCATACTTCCCCAGTTGATAAGTCATTACTTCGTTAAGTCAATTGTTCTGCTTTACAAGTTTTGCCTGTAGTTTAAAAAGTAATTTTATTGTTACAATAATTATTTTATATCTACACATAAATCTAAATAACAAACTTGTGAGAAGATTAATGAATATAAAATAAAATATGTATTAATTCCAATGGAAAAAAATAGCTCATAAAAATTATGATTAATGCAAAGTATCTTAAAAAATCTAAATAATAATCAGAAAATGTTATAGAACAAAAATATATTTGGATGGTTATCCTTATCCATTTACGAAGAAGCCCAGAGGATTAAAGTGAATTGTACATAAACGTTTATCTGTCAATTCCTCCGTTTCATTCGTTGAATGAACCAAATGACCAAATGAAAAAGATTTGTTCGTTTTGATGAACGAGTTCGAACAGGAGAGTCACGAACGCGCATCACAGAACAGAGCAAGGTGAGCATTTGAGCTTATAAAACTTAAACTTTTTTATTTATTTTTGAAATGATCGATCGTTTCGCTAGATAAGACCCTTATTCATCGTCTGGAGTCGTTTAAAGCTGCACTGAAACTCTCATTTGGACCTTGAACCGTTTGGACCCCATTGAAGTCCATTATATGGAGAAAATCCTGGAATGTTTTCATCAAAAACCTTAATTTCTTTTCGACTGAAGAAAGAAAGACATGGACATCTTGGATGACATGGGGGTGAGTAAATTATCAGCAAAATTATTTTTTAAAAGTGAACTAATCCTTTAACAAAGCCTCTAAATATTTTCACGTTTTAATCTGACATAAAACACACCAGTTATAACCTGCATGTGGTTTTTTAAACTTTATATAGGCTTCAAAATGTATACATTTTGGATTAACTAGTAAAGATTATCTTGATAAACAAACTGTGTTAGGGTCACAAGTCTTTGTTGAACACAGAAGTCTGTGGGGAAAATGCATTGCTTTGCCTTTTCGATCGAGGGAACCCATGCGCCACTAGCCTCCGAGTTGTCCTACAAAGTGACGTCATCACTTGCGTCATCACATCACTCTATGCGGCACAGGTGTAGGTGTCGAGTAATTTACAGGTGATTTACAACGGCTTCGAACTCGGCTAAACCAATCAGAATCAAGAAGGACCGGAACTATCCGTTTTATAATGAAGATTTTAACCGATGTCAGATATCGGACCTGTTCGTGGCTCTTGGATGTGGGTATAATCACAGCTAAAATGCAGATGAGTTGAAAAATGGCTCCTAGAAATAATCCATAACGCAAGAGACTCTCGAAGAAAGTGGGTTCGGGAACCTCCGGAGGAGACAGATCCAGATCTGCAGACATGATGATGCTGCCGGAGGATAAACACGCGTTATTCACAAACACACTCACTCACAAGAACATCGGGCATGGTAATATTACCATAGTAACGTTACGTCTTCAAACAAATTAGGCAGTGCAGAACTAACACGTATCGTTACGGGAGTGCAGCGTTAAAATATCATACATCTACAAATCAAACACACACAAAACAAACCGTTTAACTTACCTGTTGATATAAATCGTAACCTTTGCTGTGTTATGGAAAATTGGGAATTGATAAAACGGCAGAATCCTGTGTTTGTTGTGAGATTTAAGATGAACACATCCAGTGCTTTGTCTCGAATGCGTTTGAGTTTCTGTCTTCATTGCGCGTAACTGCCTCCTGCTGCACAGGAGGACACATCTCACACACACAGATGCAGCAGCAGAATCTTTTAATAATACACCTTATATTTTAATTCTACATTATTAAAATTCAAAATTATTATTTTACGTCAATCGGTGCCATTATTCAGGCGTATTATTGATCAGAGCAGCACATCTGAAGTGGACGGGCTATGTCACGTGGTAGCTGATACTTTTCGCTTGACCAATCAGAGTCACCAACTCGTCCCCTTGGAATTATAAGGTTAGATATTGAGCTTCAAAGTTTTTGCATTACATATAGGAACATTTATATGGGGAACAAGTTTCATTTAAACATGAAAATAACACGGACCCTAAATGTATTCTAAACATACAATATCAAAATCCTCTCAAATTTGTAAATGGGGATTTTTGGAATGGGTCAAATGCAGATAGAATCTTCTAATTAAAAAAAAAACAAACACTTTTCGCTTAGAATTATAAGGTTCTATCTGCCAAAACATTATTTGAACATTAAATAAAAAAATAAAGTTGTAACAATGTCTCAACGTGTGTTAGAAAGTAAAATTTTATCCTTTCTATGACATTTATTCAATATTTTTTAGCACTTCCATGTATTTAGGACATTTCAAATTAAGCAAGGTAGGTCTAAATATTTTCCACAGTGCATAATCTTCATTTTTGATACCAATTTGGTGGGTAATTAAACACATTGTTGCAGAAATTATACTTTAATCTTTCTTTTGCTTAGACAGAAAGCAGCCACTGTAATACATCAGAGCAGGACTTTATTCCAGCTAAAGTGGGCCAGGTAAAATGGCTTACTCTCTAGACCTCAATATGGCTGAAATAACATGCAAACGTTTATTGTTGTAATTAAGACCCCATTAATTAAATTGTTTAATATTTGACCTATAAGCCTTAATATGGTAAAAAAAAATTAAGATATTTTAAGACTTTAAAAACTGCAAGAAAATCGACATGCTTCAGCAAATTAATTCATAAAGTTTAATAATCATTGAAAAATTATTCACTGACTATATAATTGTCAGTCTTTGTCTGCACCATTCTGTCTTCGTCAACTTCACTACACTTCCCAGCATCCTCTTGTCTCCACACCTGAACTCACTCCCTCAATCATCCACTCATCCTCTCGTTAGTGTTCATTTTGTATCTGTATTTAGTTCTCTCTGTTTCAGTCTGAGCTTGTCGGTTCTTGATTGTTTCATGGATAGTGTGTGTAATCTTCTGCCAGTCTTCCTTGTACCTGTTTGGAGTTTTTGAGTAAATGTTTTGTATGGATCAAACATGGATTTCCGTGCAGTAAGACTAATGTGCCTTGAGCAGGGAAACAGCTGTCTTCAGGAACACCTGGAGGTTTTCCTGATACCTCAAATCAGTTTCCCAGATGACTGCCTCTGCACGTTTCTACGTGTGGGACTGAACAACACCACTCTAGCCCAGTTGTCTGGGGAACCACCTCAAGGAAACTTTGCCCAATATGTGGAGTGGGTGCTGGTATCCTGCGGATCATCCTTCACTGTCGATGACGTCACCAGCCCCACTCCAACGCCAGAGGCCGCCCAGCCCGAGATCGGCCGTCAGAAGGGTCTTCACCATCCTGGCAACGCCCTCAACCTGCTCCGCCATGTCCACGTCCTGCTCCGCCCTGGCCACGCCCTCAGCCTGCTCTGCCACACCCTCGTCCAGCTCCGCCCTGGAGGCAGCCATGCCCTCATCAGCCTCCAGGGCGCCCACCCCCCCACCCCATTGATGTTCTACGGCGCGAGGTTGCGCCTTTGTAAAGGGGGGCGTTCTGTCACAGTCTTCGTCATCTTCACTACACTTCCCAGCATCCTCTTATGTCCACACCTGAACTCACTCCCTCAATCATCCACCTGTTCATCGTCCTGATCATCTGTCATCACCTTGTTAGTGTTCATTATGTATCTGTATTTAGTTTCAGTCTGAGCTTGTCAGTTCTTGATAATGTTTCATGGATGGTGTGTGTAATCTTCTTCCAGTCTTCCTTGTACCTGTTTGGAGTTTTTGAGTGAATGTTTTGTATTGGAGCTTTGTGTCAGCCTCAGCCTGTCTTCATTCCACACTACACCGTGACAATAATGGTTTATAATGGGATAAATGCTACGTGGGAACGCAATATCTCAGCTCTGGAAGGGTCTAGAGCCTCCATTTTTGCACTCAGGTCTAAGTCTCATGGCCCTCTATCAGAATCCAGAGTTTTGAGAAGATTGGAGAAACTCAATTTTTCGCCCGAAAAAAAAAAAACGAAAGGGGTAACACTG